ATACATATCTTTAATGACTTAAATATAAACATTATTAACTCCATTATTTTCTAGAACTTTCGAGTGCTCTTCTTTTGGAACTTTAGCATATGCTTTCTCTAAAGCAATAAATATCATATGAAGATCCTCCTTATTCTCTTTATGCTTCTCCATCTATCTTCTCAATAAATATATAGCTTCCATGGTAGACCTACCCGGCATGAAACCCAAATTGATTTTGAGAAACATTAGTATCACGTCGTAACCTATGCTCAATAATTCTCTCCCACAGTTTTAATGTATGACAAATTAACTTAATTCCTCTATAATAATAATGATATAATAATTGTGAGAATAATAATGATAATGATAATGATACTAATAATGATATTAATAATGATAATAATAAGAATAATAATGATGATAATAATAATAATGATAAAAATAATAACGGTGATAATAATGATAATAATAGTAATGTTGATCATCTTAATAATTATAATGATGATGATTGTAATAATATAATAATAACTGGAAAATAATAATAATAGTAATAGTGATATTAATAGTAATAGTTCTACAATGACACTCATTGGTTTGCTTAATGAATATAGTGTATCATTTATTCATTTTTTTGTTGATTTGTGTAACATTTTATTTAATTGACTAATCAATTGATAGCTTTTAAAATAATTTTATATTATAAATTGTGTTGTTTATACTAAGATTACGTGGTTATGATAACTTAAATGATTCTGGATGCCTGCATTTCATATAATTTGACTTTTGAGCACGCATATGTGAACCTTCATATGATAATTTTGGTGACATTTTTTATTTGATTATGCATCTCTTATATGTTCAATTTCATTAATTAATTTGATAAATATTATTCTTGAGAGTTAGTTTTTTTATGCAAAGCCAGGTACTTCATTTTTGTAGAGTATTACCTTTATAGTACGTCATCTATCTACATTCTAGTTTGTTGGAATGCTTAATGAATACAATATGTCATTTATTCATCTTTTTTGTTGGTTGAGTCTATTTTCTTTCATGTAACCTATTATTTATATAGTTTTTTAGATTTTTCTTATTGTTGTAGTAATTTTTATTGCTTATTATTTTAAGAATATTATTTTTATAATGACCGGGATTTTAGAAAATGTTTATAAATTTAATGGTTTAGAATTGATAAAATAGGGACTAGTTCATGTAGTTTTAATAAATGTGCTATATTTTTACCAAATTTTCTGGAAGATAATGTGCTAAATAGGTGTGCTAATTTTAATTATTGTAGTCATTAAATAAAAGCATATAGATGATGTACCTTTCATAACTAAGATTATATATGTAAAACGGAGAAGTGATGAAATATTACGCCATAACAGAATCTAACACACTTAAATTATGTTAGGTATATTGGCTGGATCTTAATGTTCGATTGTAAAGTTATTGATGGATAAGCCGAATATGATATTAATGAAAATGCTAAAATGAAGGTGCATAATAAATATCTTATATCTATAGTAAAAAAAGAATGAGGATATAACTTCCTGAATAAATATCTTATATTTATAACAAAAAAAAAAAGAATCTAACTTAAGGATAGGACTAGTTCATGTAGTTTTTTCTTTGAATTTGGTGGTGTGAAAAATGGAAGTCATATGCCAGTCATCAACAGATTAGGGGTGTGGCAGACCACATCTCACCACACATAGGGGAAAGGGGTCCCATTTCTAGATGCAATGGATTACATCAGTATCATCCTCATCAAAGAATTCACCATCAGCATCTACATGATGAATGAGGTCAGCCTCAAGCTCAAAGTCATCTTCAATAATCTCCTCAATAATAATGACCTTATGAGGGCTAGAACATTGGGAGACAATATGGTCATATCCTTGGCATCTAAAGCACTTGGTCCTTGGGTGGGTCCTAGGTGAATCAAGGACTGGAGACTTGCTTTTATTGTCAGGACGGAGCTGGGTGAACCAGCGGGGGTTCGGCTAGCAGGGCTAGGAGGCAGCCTAGAGGTAGAGGCATAGGGGCCCGAGCTCCTAGAGGGTCTAAAAAAGGATTTGGCATCCTGGTGATGGGTAGGATGTTGAGGTTTTGATGGGAACTAGCAAGTTAAAGCCCAATGGAGAACATAAAAGAAAGCAGAACACAACTCGATTTAAAACTTTAATAAGCAAGTCACCAAATAACATTAAACAAACTGAAATTGTTTTATTAGAAGAAAGAAAATCAAAACAAATTACTCTCAGAACAACCAGCTAGTGGTCACCTCACATGTTGTCACGACCCGGCCTAGTGAGCCTGTATAGACGAGGTGGGAACGGATGTCGAACGTAAATGATATAACAGAACATTAAATTATCATAAAATATGAATTGAAGAAGAATCTAAAACACTTTAAGAGAAAAATAAAAGCGCCCCTAAACAACTTCCAATTTTAACTAAACATTTCATATAAAGTTGCATATATACAGAGGTGGCTAAAATATTTCTTTCATTCATGCCAAACCACCCAAAAATTAAACTACAACTAAAAGAAAAACACAAGAGGAACCTATCATCCGGTCCTCTACTGCTATATGTGTATCAAGGTCGATCAGTCATTCCTAGCAGCAGTGTCTCCTGAAAAAATATCCCAAAATGAAGGAATGAGATAGAGCTCAGCAGGTAACAATTAACTTTAACATACTCATATACCAATAAATGAAATTCAACATACATGCTTAATGTAATTTAATTCATTTATTTGATTATGTAATGTCATGATTTTGCTAAGTGTCACATGCTATAGTTCATATGCATATCCTTGAGGTCATTTCAACTATGTCCTTTGTGTCATAAATGTACTAATATGCTTTCTTATTCTTTAACATATACAACCGTACCGGAGTATCAAAAGTGTACTGATCAGGTACACAAACATATTTTTGGTAATATCATCTTTCTTTCCTCTTTTTCCCCGAAGAGTCATATTGCTCATAAGAGGCGTATTTTGCTATTGCACCATATTTGGTACTCCACCTTCAACATGCACATTCATTCAAACGTTCTTTTCATAGGAATGTAGTGTAGCAATCTCATATTAATCATATGCATCGATTATTAGGCAAGTTTACATGAAGGATTGTATTTCATTTCAAAGAACATTTATCATGCATTGCTATCAAAGAAAGAGAACTTCTAACATGTATTTTTATCAAAGCAAAAAAAAAAAAAAAAAGAACATCTAAAATATAAAAATGCGTTAGACATTTCAAAACATAACATAAAGGAATATGAATTTGTTGAGTTAAGCGTTCCTACCTCAAATGTCACTTCTTGACACCGTCGTCTCGCCTCACACTGGTCTCTCCTTAATCACTTCCTCTTTTCAAGACCTAAGGAAAAGAGGTTACAACATAACAATATAAGCCTTTTCCAATCATTCAATATCAATTATACCTCAATATCCTTAACACATTTGATGATTTAAATTAATTATTACATATTAATCTTAACATAAATTCTCTTAATAAGGTCATTAATGTTCATTAACATACCCACAACTTAAAGCATTTTTTATCATATATTTATTAATGTTCATTAACATAAGCACAACCTAATGCATTTTTTATCAAATATTTTCCTTAATTAAAAGTATTTTAAATGTTATTTTCGGATTTACCTAAATTTCAAATTTTGGAAACATAATTCTTCACTAATTTCATTAAAATTTCTTGTTAAAACATTCCTCTTATCTAATTATAAATTTAGGTTATTAAATTTTTGGATTATTAAATTTAATAATTAGGAAAAATAATATTTTGTGAAAAATTCCAATTTTCACCGTTAGAACCCTCCTAAGGTTATTTGGAATCACTTTAGTTAAGCACTCCAATTTTCCAATATATGAAAAACCCTAATATTTGAAACCTAAAATTTCTTGAAGAAAAATTTCATTTTCATGGATAGAAGTTTTTCCCTAAGGTTCTTCTAACATTCCTTTCAAAAAGAATTAAAATTAGATAAACCCTAATTTCGAAAATATGAAAATCCTTTAGGAAAATTTCATGTTTTCATGGAGAAAAGTCTTTCCTAATCCTTCCCTATAACTTTTCTTCTAAGCTTTTGAGTTTTGAGAAAATCCTAAAAATTTCTCTCCAAGGAAACTAAGGGGAAAATACATTTTCTTGCATTAGAAGCTTTCCTCTATCTTCCTTATGTGTTTCCCCACGTTTTTTCTCCAAAAATCTTTGCCGGAAGCTCGTCGGCTGCCAGATTTCCCCTAGCTCCTGCCACCCCTTCCTCCTACCTCTCTCGCTCTCTTCTTCGATTCGGCCGAAACAACACAAGGGACCGAATAATTATTCGGTCCCTTAGGGATTTATGGGGGTTTTGGGGAATATGACGCATGTGCCCCTTCCCTTATTACTTTCTTAAGAGTTCATGAGGGCAAAATGCGTATAAAGAGCTAAAGTTTTACTTAAATGAATTTCGACGAATTTTAGTTTTAAATTCGTGCAACATTTGATATAGGTTCTTTATATCGTTTCGATCGAAATTTTGCGTAGAATTTAATAAAATTTATTGCGTCGAATTCCAACGACTTTGAAATTTCTCCTAATTTCGTCGCGGTGCATCGAAATGCGCGCGACGCATACGATCGACAGTTTTTTGGGTTTTACACATGTAATGATAATATAGGTAAATAGAATGCTCAAGGACATGCAAATCAGTGGTCCACCACAGCAAACAATGTCTATAAGCTGATTATTTCTTATACTTGGTCTAAATTATGCTGCCCCATCAGAATAAGCTCCAAGTTACCTAAACCTGTTGCAGGCATGTTTTTCCTTATTTTTATTGGTTGATCATGAACTTATATTTGATGTTATCATAATGAAAATACTGTTATTATAATTGTTGATTTTCTTGATATTTTTGTCTATCTTATGCATTAGACATTGTTTTCTATTTTTTCTTATTATCTAATTACCTGATGACCTGTCTGTGATCCCCTTCAGGTTTTAGCTGCACTTGGAAAGGACTACTTTGAACACATTCTACCTGACATAATCCGCAATTGTTCTCATCAAAGAGCATCTGTCCGTGATGGGCACTTGACACTTTTTAAAGTGAGTTCCATCATATTTATCTAGTTTTTTTCTTAACCTGATTTTATTTTTTTTTTCATATTGACGTCTCTCTTTGCAGTACTTGCCGAGATCCTTGGGCGTCATATTTCAGAACTACTTGCACACAGTTCTGCCTGCTATTTTGGATGGTATGACTATATAGCTCTACGGAATTTGAATAGAATTACATACAAGTTCTTAAACTCTAATGTTCTTTCCCCCAGGCCTTGCTGATGAAAATGAGTCCGTCCGTGATGCAGCACTAAGTGCAGGGCATGTGTTTGTGGAGCATTATGCAGCAACGTCTGTTCATCCAATATTTTCTTCTTTACATCTATTTTGTGTAGCGGTATTTTAAATTTGTGCTAACACGTTCTTCTTGGTGAATTATAAACAATAGGTCGTTACCTCTTTTGCTGCCAGCAGTTGAGGATGGGATTTTAAATGATAACTGGCGTATTAGACAAAGTTCTGTTGAGCTTTTGGGCGATCTCCTTTTCAAGGTAAGAGTAATTTCCTTTTTATTACATCTTTGTGTTACCATTTTCTGGTCATTTTACCTGTTGAACCTGCTAAAATTTGTAATTACGTGACTTCTACGTTTAAAGGTGGCTGGAACTTCCGGAAAAGCTCTTCTTGAAGGGGGTAGTGATGATGAGGGATCAAGTACTGAAGCTCATGGTCGCGCAATCATTGAAGTTTTAGGCAGGGATAAGCGAAATGTTGTTCTTGCTGCAATCTACATGGTCCGTAGTGATGTAACCCTGTCTGTCCGGCAGGTAAGTCAGATTGACGCTTTTTATCCTGACGTTGTCTGTTCTGCTTTTGCGGAACAAAGTTTGGCATACCTCATTACCATGTTTGATTCGGCATTGTCATCTCTCAGGCTGCTTTACATGTTTGGAAGACTATTGTGGCTAATACTCCAAAGACCCTTAAAGAAATAATGCCTGTTTTAATGAATACTCTTATTTCTTCACTTGCTTCACCTTCACCAGATAGACGTCAGGTTCTCCTCTTTATTTTTCTTTTTTTCGCTTTCCAGTTCCACATATGCATTGTCTTATGGCTTTTTATTTATTTAATTATTTACTTCTCATCGACAACTCCATTGCCTTTGCCAGGTTGCAGGGAGGTCTCTGGGTGAGCTTGTGAGAAAGCTTGGTGAAAGAGTTTTGCCTTCTATCATACCTTTCTTAGCACAAGGGCTCAATGATCCTGATGCCAGCCGTAGACAGGTGAGTAGTAGTTATAGGTAGGAATGTTGTCTGCTTTCATTTTTATATTGTCTTAAGTGCATGAATGCATTGCGCATATTTTTCCTTTTTTTTGTGTTTTTCCTTCATTGTTGGGATTGTGAAATTCAGTTTCTCATTTAATTGTTTTCGTAAGAGAATGATTATTTTCTCCCGGGAATTATTATGGCAATTTACTCACTGGGTGTAGTTCTTGTTCATGTGATCCGTGATAATGGACTGCAAATCTTCTGACTGAGATAACTTGTTATACAAGATTTAAACTTCATTGCATTTGAGTTGTAAACATACATTGCATTTATAACAATAGCCAATCTTTATAGCTAATGTCGTTTATTTTAGTTGGGTTGATTTTTTAATGTTAGCCTATCATTATAATCATACGTTTGACATGATCAGAGCTAGTTCTCCCAAAAGCTTTTAATTAGTGAGAGAAAAAAGCAAACTAATCAAGCAATGCCTAACACAATCACATTGCACTGTTATCTTTCCTCCAATTTCTCACGGCTATCTTTCCTCTTTCTTTTCCCCTCTCCCACACACAGAAGCAATCCCTAACACAACCCCATTGCTGCATACGTGCACACACCTTTTTCCCTTTTTCTCTTCCGCTTAGATTGATACTTCCTTCTAGACTATACTTGGCATCCTTTGGTTCAGTGTTTAATGTCAACTCTTCTTTCATTTTGCCCAAATCTTTTAACAGTCTGAGTAGGCTTTGTATTATACGTTTCTTTGCTATCTTGTTTGTCCAAGGGAGTTTGTATTGGACTTAGTGAAGTGATGGCAAGTGCTGGTAAACAACAACTGCTAAGCTTTATGGATGATCTTATCCCAACAATTCGTACAGCCCTTTGTGACAGGTATTCTGTTCCCCGTCTTTTAGTATTTCTTTTGGAACTTTAAGGTTGCTTCTATGCATTGTTATAACATTTATAATTTCCTACTTGCAGCATGCCAGAGGTTCGAGAATCTGCTGCCTTAGCTTTCAGCACACTTTACAAAGTATAAAGTAAAACCAATCTAAGTTTTTCCAGGTTTTGTTTGAGTTATTGTTTCTCAATGTGGATGTGGCTTACAGAGTGCTGGTATGCAAGCAATTGACGATATTGTTCCAACACTATTAAAGGCCCTGGAAGATGATGAAACATCTGATAAGGCCCTTGATGGCCTTAAACAAATCTTGAGGTTTAGCTTTGCTCTAATGAGTTAATCTGTTTATTTTCTCATTCTTCAGTGATATGGAAACTGTTGAAACAACAGCTGATGATTGTGTTGCTATTTTTAGTGTCAGGACTTCAGCTGTTTTGCCTCACATCTTACCGAAACTTGTTCATCCCCCACTTTCGTGAGTGGCTGCATCTTTATGTTTTATCTTTATGTTCACAAGCGGGAATTTGATGGAATTTTCTTTCTTGTACCTCTAGTGCTTTCAGTGCTCATGCATTGGGAGCCTTGGCTGAGGTTGCTGGATCCGCCTTAAATTTTCATGTTGGAACAATTCTTCCTGCGTTATTAGCTGGAATGGGTGATGATAATGAGGTTAGTTGCGCCTAACGAAGCTCAAATGTTTTAAATTTTTACTGGTATCTGATGCTTATTTTAAAATTTGGTTGCAACATCATTTGCATTGTCACGAAAAAAATTAGTACTTGCTAAAATGCGATTGTTCTTTGTGGCCTAATTTTGTTTTAGATACTAACTTTGACCTATTATGCTGCGGGATGGTTTTCAAATTGAAACCACATTTCAGGAGAAACTGAGATAAAAAGAAAATAAAATATAGAACAAACAAGAGTGAAAATGTGGCAAAAGAAAGTAACAGAAAGACGAGAGATGAACTGAATTGGTTACTGCTTGATTTCCAGATTCCTAGCGGGAGTTCTGGGTTTATTTAGAGCTCTACTCCAAAGTCAGTAGGACTGCTCATCTATTGATAAATGTTTCATTCATCTTATTCCCAAAATTATCATAGCACTTATTGGTAGGTGCAGTGACACCGTTAATGCGTACACAAAATCAGGAAGAGAAGAATAAACTCTGAATTTTTTAATGGCTAATCTGAAATGGCATAATAATGGATACAAAAAACAAAGAAAAGAAGATTAATAGGCTAGACTTAGTCAAGACAAATCTTTTTAAAGGTTGAAGATGTTTTGGAGATGGTTCTTGATACAGATTTCTTGATCAGGAAGAAGAGGACAGCAGCTTTGCGACCAGGAAGAAGGGGACAGCAGCTGAGTGGCCTATCTGGTTAAAATATAGCAGCCTGCATGTGGCCTGCTGGAGGGGGACAGCAGTCTTTACGATTACGAAGAACCCAAGACTACAGGAGATTCTTGATGCAGAATTATGGACTAAGAAGAAGAAAATAGCACTTCTTGCTGGCTGGCAGCAGCCTTCTTGGTGTTTCGACAGAGAACAGCAGCAGCCAAGCTTCTTGTAAGGAGTTCTGCATGTTCTGGCCTGCTAGAATGGTGACTGACCGGCTGGGAGAAGGGGCTGCAGGCTGGAAGAGGAGGTTTTGGAGCAGTCGGCACCCTTGAAGATGGCTGTTGCTGGCTGCCTAGTGTTGGAAGGAGGAAGGCTGGATGCTAGCAGGCTGGGGTTGGATGGGGCTGAAGGGGGGCTACAAGGGGAGGAAATGAGTTTCGGCTACCGCCTGTAGGGATTCCAGGATACAGGACACTAGATGATCTCTCTAGCCAGGTGTCTAGCTCGCCAAAATCGGAATTTCGGGGTTAAGGACCCTATAATTTTAAGCTTTCAACGAGTAAATAAAGAAATAAAATAAAATGAAGACAATGCTAATTAAATAAAGAAAGAACAAGATACCTAAATTATAAAAAATAAAAAATAAAAATAAAAGTGGGGTCCGATTGGTTTTAACCCAACTGGCCAAGCTTGTGATGTAGAACGAACATGCGAAGGAGCTTCTTAAGAGAATTAAAAGTGAATGACAACGTAATTTCAATTAATATCTTATTGAGATAGCAAGAAAATCATTCAAAATTTCGTAGTTAAACCGTTGATCGATGACCTCATCAGCTTGTGTCATTCTCCTTGGCTTGGAGGGGCTTCGTCATATTCTAAAGTCGATGATTCTTTGTAATGAGTAGTCAAATCGGAAATGTTGAAGGTAGCTGATATTTTGGTATTTGCCTGGTAGTTACAGATGATAGGCATTATTGTTGAAACGTTTGATAATGCGAAGAGGCCCATTTGCCTTAGATTTTAATTTGCAGGGGCTTCGTGCAAATCTTTCCTTTCATAGTTTAATCCATGCTAAATCTTCAACCATGAATGTTTTAGGTTTCCTGTTTTTATTGGCTTGAGCCTGATGTTTAAGATTTTATTTGTTGATGTGGTCTTACACTTGGGCATAAAGTTTACTTATTTCTTGAATCTGTTGTTCGGCATCAAGGTGACAATTTGTTATAGCGACGGAAAGAATTAAATTAACAGGTGATATGTGATTTCGATCGTATACAACTTCAAAGGGGCTTCTTCTTGTGATTTGACTATGTGATCTGTTATAAGAAAATTCTACTTGATGCAATAATAGATTCCATGGCAGACATTTTTTCCTATAAAACACCTCAAGAGATTGCCTGAATTTCTATTGAAAGCTTACGTCTGTCCATCTATTTGCGGATGCGCAGTGGAGCTAAATTGTAACTTTGTTCCCAACTTACCCCCATAGTGTCTTACAGGAGTGACTAAGGAATTTGATATCTCGATCAAATGTGATGGACTTGGGAATGTCATGTAATTTAACTATTCTTGAAAATGAAGATTGGCTAGGATTAATTAACTTCTTGCTCAGTATTAAGGATTTCCACTAGCTTAAGGTCTGGAACGAAATAGTGAATCTGAGAAATGCAAGACTGCAATAACATGGTGAAACTAGTGGCAAAAACAAAATATTTTGATTTTAGAGCTTGGTGGTAGTTTCAACAGAAATGGTAGACAACACTACACAATACTAGACAAGGGTTGTGAAAGAGTAATAAAAACAAACCTTTATCCAACTATGTAGGGTCGGCCATATGAATGCCTTTTTTTTTCATTGTGTCCTATTAAGAGTCAAATTAATATTTAAATCTAATAAAAAATTATTTTAATACTTTCTAATCAAGTCATGAAAAGTGCAAAGTCAAAAAAAATTGTAATTTGATGATGGGAACTGCACCAAGATCATTCTAATCCTAGTTTGAAATAAGAAGAAACTGCAAATAAAAAGATACCAAACAATGAATCATTTGTAACTCCCCACAATACCCCTTATCAGTCACGTAGAGTGCCACAGATTAAACATAACATTCATACTTTACTTTTATCATTCCTCGCACAATTTCAAACCATCTAATTAATCCAAATTTCATAACATAAATATTTATGAAGCCACCAAGCAATCCAAAAGAGTACAATACTGAACAGTTTACATACCTTAATTATAGACTTACAAAAAATGTTAAACAGTAAAATATAAAGTGAAATAAACTTGAACCTATTCTGCATCAAGTTTTCCCTTTTCTTTCTTTGTAACAATAACCAGTATAAAATAACTGGTGAGCTATAAAGCTAAATAAGCTATGCAAATTAAATAACAGTTAAATTGCATGATTATAAAACTCATCATATTGAAATCATAAATTAATAAAACTTGTTATTATTTATAAAATAACATAAAATCATATTTTGCATTAAGCTTTACTTCCTTTAAAGTTTATTGATGTAAGCAAAAAATATAGGGAGCCTATATTTTTTGCTTAACAAAAATACACAACGGACTTCTACGGAAAATTACTGAAAATGGCTAAAGATGAGAAAGCAGATGAACAAACTCTTACATTTCAAATTTAACATAAATAGAAACTTACAAACTAGACTCCAAATAAAAAAAAAAAGACACCCTAAAGTTGCTTCACTTGGAGAAGAAGGATACAGTTGGAGTGGCACTTGCGGAGAGACGAAAGAGATTAGAAGCCGGAGAAGAAAGGGTGGAAAGAGCCCGCAGGATTTCCGGAGGGGATGAGAAAAGAAGGTTGGAAAGAGCCCGCAGGATTTCCGAGCAACCCGCAGGTTAACTGATTTTTCCAAAAATCAAATTTCATTCAACTATTCAAAACATTACATAACCCCCCATATTTATAGGTATGAAAGGGGAATACAAAAGGACACAAACACTTAATTTAAAGCATTTAAAACACATATAAAACTTCCCCCTAAGCTCTCAGTTTACACCCAAACCAGGAACCAAGGAGACGGCCACGGAAGACGAAGGAAACCGCACGGACCGAGAGCCACAGCCACGGGAACCGAAGGGCGGACACGGAACAAGGAGCCAGCCGTGAGATCCCAAGGGGCATACACATAAAACTAAAAAGCAATGGTGGAATTCAAAGAGCCACCAAGGAAAAAGAAATCTTGGAATTCCAAAGGCCGGTTTGAAATTCCAAGAGACAAACATAAAAGCAAACATGAAAAGCATAAAATTACATTAATTATAAAGATAACTATGAGTTAAAAATCCTAGCTAATAATGAGTTAACCCCTAGTTCAATAAATGAACTAAAGCCTAGCTCATAAATGAGTTAAAATTCTAGCTCAATTGGATTGTGCTAGTAGACTCAAGGGAAGCCAAAATCTGAATTATTTTGGACTTGTGTTGACCCCCCCTTTGTCTACATAAAATATGCAACTAGGCTGTTGTGCACTAATGAATCTCCTGCAGTTACTTGCAGATGTTTGTGTTCCTCACAAGCGTCTGCACTTGCTTGTAAGTGGCATGTTATACATAAGTCGGGCCTCCTACAATGACTCTTAGGAGCTTGCATTTGCTATGTATCGTCTGTTTTTACTTATATAGGACCAGTGTATTTGGATGTTATTGCATGGTTGAATATGTTTGCTTATATTTTGATGTTAATTGCAGGGATGTCGTAGCATTCGATGTCTGTTGCTGGCTACCACTTGTAGAATAATATTGTGCATGACAAATCTTCTTTCATTGCTGGCAGGCGCCAACATTCATCATATGCAGCACTACATATATTTGCAAGAGGCCTTGTTGTTTACAGACAAATAGGTACGTTCCTTGCGCACTGATTTTATGTTCATAGGAGGCTGGTATATTCGTTTGCATGGTGATCAGTGTTGGCTACAGGGATTTCCTTACATTCACCACCTATTGCTAGTTCTCACCCATAGGAATATCATTGCGCGTGCAACAATTATTTCATCATCACATATAGGTATTTGCATTGGTTACAGTCTTTTATCATTGCTTGTAAATGACGTGTCACATATCTATGTTCGCAGAGGATTAAATAAACTTGCAGCATATCCTTCGGCATTGCTTACATGCAAATCAGTATGCTCATTCATGATTTTGACGTTGACTGTAGGCTGAACTATATTCATCACTAGCATCTCCATGCATATTAGCTAACAATTTATCACATCTATTACATATCAATTATCATTAATTGTAGGGGGATTAATGAGTTATTTTGCAAGCTACTTGAAAATAGTTGTAA